CACACACACACACACACACACACACACACAAACACACCTCCTTCCTTGGGTTAGCTGGCATATCTATAAACTGGCAAAATATAATCCTTGTCAGGAAGAAATAGGTGGTGTTTTCTGCGAACCTAGAGAAATCCATTTTCAGGACACCATGGCAACTCTGCAGAACTGACTAGAGTAGTTTAACTAGAGGGCCCGTGAGATGGGAGTGAAGAAGGGCGCTGTGGGGCCGCGGTGTGGGGCCGCGGTGTGTGGGGGCCACGGTGTGGGGCTGCGGTGTGGGCGCCATGGTGTGCTAGTAAGAGGTGGAGCTGGGTGACTGGGCTGGGTGATTTTGAGAGTAGAGAGGCTAGACGTTGACTTGTGTGTTTGTGTGTGTGTGTGTGTGTGTGTGTGTGTGTGTGTATGTATGTGTGAGAGAGTGACACACACACGTTCTCTTACTGTTCTGAAACTTACCAAGTAGCCCAGGCTTGACTGACAAGCTCAAGTTTTGGGCATCCACCTATTTCCATGTTACCAGTTCTGGGATTATAGCATGTGCCACCACACCCGATTTATTTTCCTTTCCTTTTCTTTCATTTCCCTTTCTTTCCTTTCCTCTTTCTTAAATTAGGTTTTTGGTTAGCAAATGAAATAGATTTTACTATGACAGCTTCGTGCATCTACATCATGCTCTGGAATTCCCTGGATTGTTGAGAGTCTTGGTTAGGGTTTCTGCAATGAAACACATGCAAAAAACAAGTTGGGGAGGAAGGGTTTATTTGGCTTATACTTTCATATCACTGTTCATCACTGAAGGAAGTCAGGATGGGAACTCAAACAGGCCAGGAACTTAGAGGCAGGAGCTATTGCTTACTGGCTTGCTCATTATGGCTTACTCAGCCTGTTTTCTTATAGAACTCAGGACCATAATGATCTGGGCCCTCCCCCTGAGTCACACTAATTAAGAAAATATAGCTGGATCTTAAGGAGACAACTTTTCAATTGAGTTTCCCTTTTTTCAGGTAACTCCAGCTTGTGCTGTGTTGACATAAAACTTGCTAACATATTGATGGTGGTTCAGACATGCTCTATCCTAATGTGGGTTGTCTTTCTGTGTGCTGTGAATATGTTTTGTTACCATTGGTTAATAAAGAAGCTGATTTGGCCAATAGCCAGAAAGAATAGTGCCAGGCGAGAAATCCAAGCAAAGATTATCGGGAGAAAGAAGGCGGAGTAAGGGAGACATTAGCAGTTGCCTGAGAAGCAAGATATGAGGTAACAAGCCATGAACCTCATAGTAAAATATAAAATAATAAAAATGGGTTAATTTAAGTTGTAAGAGTTAGTTAATAATAAGCCTGAGCCATCAGCCAAACTTGCATAATTAATATAAGCCTCTGAGTGTTTATTTGGGAATTGGTGGGCAGGAGAGAAACCTTCAGTTACATTTCCTAATTCAGTGACCACTAGCCAGCACAGAGATGTGTTACATGGGTTTGCTCAGTCTGTGCTGGTCCACCTGTCTCCAAGCTTCTAGCATGTTGTCATCTCCTCTCCTGCTCTTTTTCCATTGAGTGTTTATGTTTTCTTAAATTTATTTATTTATTTGTTTATAAAAATTTCCACTTCCTCCCCTCTTCCCCATATCCTCCAATTTCCACCACTCCCTCTCCTCCTCCCCCTCTCCCTCTCCTCCTCCGTCTCCAGTCCTAAGAGCAGTCAGGGTTTCCTGCCCTGTGGGAAGTTCAAGTTAATCCCCTCTCCCTCCAGGTCTAGGAAGGTGAGCATCCAAACAGACTAGGATCCCAAAAAGCCAGTACATGCAGACAAAACAAGACCCAGTGCCATTGTCGGCTCAGTCAGCCCCCATGTCAGCCACATTCAGAGACTCCGGTTTGATCACATGCTTGTTCAGTCCCAGTCCAACTGGCCTTGGTGAGCTCTCATTAAATCAGTCCCCTTGTTTTAAAAATGGTTTCAGGATGATTCAGTAGATAATAGTACATTCTGTGCAAGCTTGATGGCCAGAACCCTCAACGAAAGGAGAAAGCTGGCACTCCAGAGTTATCCTCTGATGTCCACTGGTGTATGTGACGCTTGTGTATCTGTGCTCATATGCACACATATACCAATAATAGTAAAGCATTTCTCCACTACAATCATAGAGGGGTTTAAAGGTGGGACTAATTCTTGGTATATGCATTCAATTTTTTATCTCATGGAGAAATATAGGTTATTTTTATAATACTAATTAATTATTCATTTTGAATAAATACCAGATAGTAATTTTACTATTGCTATGAATTATAATGCTGTGTAGTTTCCTTTTATGTGCTATTCTAATAATATGCTTCAATATTAAGACAATAAAAAGACTTTGATCTTGTGTAATTGTTTGAGAATGTTTTATTCAAGTGTGTCTTCCAAATAAATACGTCCTGTGCCTTTGATGATAGACACAGAAGAAGTGGAAGATCAAGGAGGAAATGGGTTATGAGGACATAACCTTAAGAATACCGACTTTGGGTCGAGTTGTGGTGACATATACCTTTATACCTTTTACCTCAGCACTCAGGAGGCAGAGGCAGGTTGATCCCTCTGAATTTGAAGCCAGCCTGGTCTACAGAGTGAGTTCCAGGACAGCCAGGGCTACACAGAAAAACCCTATCTTGAAAAACAAAACAAAACAAACAAACAAAAAAAAATACTTTGATTCCAGACCCAGAGAACGGAGTACATAGCAAATATTCCCTGACGATGAAGTAGAGAGTCTAATTCTTCAAAGACGGTGAGTTATGATTGGTAGCCAGTGATCGGAGCCTAAAAATAGTAGTTCAAACAAGGCAGGGGTTTCAGTTTTCTTTATAAATCAGCTTATGGCAGGTGTTGGTCTAGAATTTCTCTTCCCTAGAGTACTTGCTGTTTGGCTTCCCTGATGAAGATGCTGACTATTCCAAGGTTGGTTACTGTATCATCAGCCATTCCCTTATTCTAAGGAAGAAGGAGAGGTAAAGGCAAAGAGGCTCTACTGTTTGGTATCAGCTTTTGTATCTCACTGGCCAGAGCTTAGCTACTTAGTCATCCTTGTCCACAAAGAAGTCTAGGTTATACTTTTTGTCTGGACCTGTTGCCATTTCCAGTATCGACCAATGACCACACAGGGCTAATAAAGTACAGCTCATATTGCCTGCCAGAGTGAGGCAGTTCACAGGTCTGAAGACAGCAGCTCCAGTAGAGCTCAGCTGCTCTCGTGCCTTCTGCTGTATTCTGTCCATCTTGAGTGTCCTATATCAGGGACCTGGTGGCCAGGAGTGCCATGGCCATGCTCTGTCTGCTCCAGCACTGTGATGGGTTTACTTCTGCTTAGTGCTTGGTCTGTGGCTCAGGGGGTTGCATTGCTATGTGAGGGGTATGTAAGTACTGGTCCAGAGTCTCACCCCAGGTGTAAGCTTCCATTCTGTAATGGACCAAGGGCAACTTAAGAGCGAGTTCAATTTTGGCTTACGGTTCCAGAGAGAAAAGAGTCTGTCATGACTGGGAGGCTTGGCAGCAAGCACCAGCATGGTGACAGGTACAGGAAGCTGAGAGGTCACATCTTTACTACAGACAGGAAGCAGAGAGAGTAGACAGGAAGTGGGTGGGGCTGTGAGATCTCAAGGCCCACTCCCGATGATGTGCTTCCTTCAGCAAGGCTGCATCTCTGAAAAATCTCCAGAAGCTTCACCTACGGGGTCTGCGTTCAAGTTCAGGAGCCCATGGGAGACATTTCTCTTCACACAACCAGTTCCTACAGCCATGGCCATCACAGTTGTGTGGCTAGCTAGTCAGCAACTGGCTCTTGTCTGTTTTGTACTTGTTCTGTTTTTAGACATTGACTTCTGCTTGTGATTGCTAAGAAACAGTATAATCTTGTGGATAAAGGGATACAGTTTTTGTTTGTTTGTTGTTGCTGTATCACTATATAGCACTGGCTGGCCTGGCACTCCCTATATAGACCAGGCTGGCCTCGAACTCAGAGATCTGTCTGCCTCTGCCTCCTGAGTGCTGGGATAAAAGGTGTGTGCCACCATGCACAGCTCTATGTATCATGTTATTCTTAGAGCATTTTCTTTCTCTCTCTTTTGAGACAGAGTTTCTCTGTGTAGCTTTGGAGCCTGTCTTGTAACTCGTTTTATAGACCAGGCTGACCTCAGACTCACAGAAGTCCACCTGCCTTTGCCTCCCAATTGCTGGGATTTAAGGCATGCACTACCATTGCCCAGCCATTTTGTTTAATTTAACATCTTTAAATTAAAATATATTATTTTTCCCTCCTTTCTTTTCCTCCCTTCAACCCCTCCTGTGTTCTGTTTGGGGATATTCGATCACACCATGAACCCTGAGTTTGCATTTGCATTAATTAAATAAAATTAACCTTGGGTCAGGAGGTTGAGTTAGCAACTAGTTGACAGAAAGTCATCCTAGAGCCTCAGAGGTCATCCAGGAGAGAAAGTCACAGGAAGTAGTAGGGTGGGGTTTGGAGTGGCACAGCTTTCTCTGGGGTTTGTTGAAGTGGAAGTCTGTGGGTCTTCTATGGATGCCAGCAAGGAGAGAGGATTAGCTAGTGGCTGCTCAACCTCTCTGAGCTCTTAGGTTTTCACCCCAGCTTTTGAATCTTAAGTCTTATTCATAATTAGAACACTAGAGATTTAATCAGAGATACCTTTGGTGGCAGTAATAGGGCCGGTGCCTGTGGGAGCAGAGCTCTTGCCAGGCTGAGGCCTGAGCAGCCAGCCAGACTGGTAGATTAAGATGCAGCCACTGTGCAGAGGTTAGAACAACAGTGTTCTTTTGCTCCAACTCCTCCAATGTGTCCCATTACTCTCTCAAATTCATTACTTCTTCTACTATTGCTATTATTATTACATGCATAAATGCATAAATATAACTTGCCGAGTCCATTTAGTGTTGCTTGTATGTGCACAATTTCAGGGCTGACCACTTAGTATTGTATAGCCAGTAAGGGGGCTCATCCCTGGGAAAATCTAATTCTTTCTCTCTCAGCAGTGGTTAGAAGCGTGTCTGGGGTAGAGCATCATGAACGTTCTCTCTTGCGCATCAGCATGTGGGTTGGTATTGTTTGGTCTTGTTTAGGCAACCATATTTTTTTCAGTATCATAGGTGAAGAAGCTTCCAGGTCATTTCCAGGCGACACGATCTCAAAGCAGATTTCCTGGTCCCTGGCTCTTACAATCTTTGTTTCCCTTCTTCTCTGATGCTCCCTGAGCCTTAAAGGGTACAGGAGCTGTGTGGTAGGTATATTTGTTGTGGCTGGATTTTGACCAGCCGTGGTTTTCTGCGATGGTCTCCGTCTCCTGTGAAAACAAGTGTCTGATGGGGATGAGGGCGACACTCACCTGTGGGTTTAGAATGCAGTTGGGAGTTAGCTGTTCTAGTAAAGTGGTGTTAGCAGGTTCTCCTCTAAGATCCATGACCTCAATAGCCCCAGGTAGTTGGCTAGGTTTTCAGTACTAGGCTGTTGGGAAGGCCTTAGGTCCAATTAGAGGGCTGTTAGTTACCAAGAAGTCTGAGTGCCACTCTTTAGGACTTGTCTTGCAGGGCTGGTCATTGTGGTTCATAGGCATCACAGTGGGTAGGGCTATTAATTGCTAACCATTGGCAGCTTGTGTAGCACCTTCTGATACTATGAAGCTAGTCCTCAGGAAGGAGGCTTCATCTGAGCATTCTTTGTTTAGAGATAATTGGGTTTAATTTTGGGATCTTGAGCAGGAGCAGTGTTGCGATTTTGTACGGTGTAACACCTCCCCTCACCCTGAGCAGTACATAAAAGGCTTTCGCAGCATTAATTGATTTTCTGAGTTTATATATAGTTAAAGATAGTTTGGTTTTGCAAAATTCTGGATTGACATTGTGGCCAGATACCAAATTATTGGGTTATCCTTCCTGCCATGGAGACGCTTAAGTATGGCCCTGTGTGCCACAGGTTTAAGTAGCCATTCTGAGGCCAGAGGCTTTAGTCCCTGCTTGAAGTGTTAGTGGCGTGCTCTGCTGTCTTGACAGAATGGCACAGACAAAGAGGACAGGCTTATTTTTTCACAGTCCTGGAGGCTGCATGTTCACAATTAGGGAGGTACAGCCAGGATGGTTCCTGGCCAGGACCCTCTTCCTGGCTTTGGATGGCTATGTTATTACTTGGCCTCTTCTCTGTGCTAATGCGTACAATGAGGAGGGAGGTGTAGTCTGACTTTTTATTGGGACTGCTGATTCCCCAATAATGACACGGAGACCTTATTATTAATTATAAAAGCTCAGGCGATAGCTTAGGCTTTATTATAACTAGTTCTTATAACTTAAATTAACCCGTGCCTTTTAATTTATATCCTACCACGTGGCTTTTACCTCTGCCCCATTTTGTGTGTCCGACTCATTCTACATCTGGCGGCTACCCCTGGTAGCCTTCTACTTCCCAGTGTTCTCTCTGCCCTGAAATCCTGCCTGACTATTAAACCAATCACCGTGACATATATTCACGGTGTATAAAGGAATAGTCCACGTCAGGAAGGGAGAGAGGCAGAGAGAGGGAGAGAGAAAAAAGGAAGGGAAAGAAAGAGGGAGGGGAGACTTGTGGTTAGGTTAGGAGACTTGGTTAGGATTTTAATGTGTAAATTTTGGAAGAATCACAATTCAGTTTCTAGTAAAAAGCAATGTGGGCTTTTTGCCAAAAGGTCCAGAACATTTTCATTATTTCTGTAGTTTATGTAAATATAAGATGTAGATTTTTATTGTTTTGGAAAAGTACAGCACCTTGTTTTAATGTGGTTGTTGCCTGACGATTTTTATCCTTTCTGATAATAATGTTTTATAAAGGATTTGGCTTGTTGACAGTCTCTCAAGATTTTCTTCTGCTTTGTTTTCACATCGTTCTAGGTGTACACTTGGTATCCCTTGCTCAAAATGCATGTAGCCAGAAGCTTTCAGATTTCTGGAGTTTGGAAAGCTTGAACATACATAATGAGATATGATGGGGTTAGGACTGAGATCTAAGTACTAGATGCATTATGTTTCATAAAGATCTGTACACATAGCCAGCGGGTAATTTCATGCAGTTTTTTAGTGTACCTGTGTATTGACTGACATCTGTCAGGTAAGATCTCTGTGACGTCAGGTTGGTGCTCAGAGTTTCAGGTTGGGTCATCTTAGGCACTTCCCCTGTAGGTTTTTGTTTTTGTCTCCATTTGTGTCTTTCTTTTGGCGTTTTTTTGTATGGTATTAGCCGTTAGCATTTGCTTTCATTGCATGTGTGAGTGTGGCTTGGTAGGCCCAGGAGGTCGCTGCCCTGGGGACAGGGTTGCCATCCTGGAGTGTGGCGGGTTGAGCCTGCCACTGCCACTGTGAATGCCAGGTGGGAGGAAACTTCTGTTGCTTCAAGCAGCAGCATTCCCTCTGCCTGTTCTATGGAGATCTCATTTGTCTCTGGTCTGAGTACTGGAAATAGCATCTGAGTCTTCACCCTTGCTGTATTCCAGGAACACATGCCTTTGGCATCTTGCATCATGGTTTTCAGTTCACGGATGCTTGGTGTAATGTAGGTAATGAATGAGTTCCTCTTATTTTGTGACTTGTTGAACTTTGAACTTTGGGTGAGTCCTGATACCAAAAGCCCCATAGAGTCTTCACTCTGCCTTGTCAAAGCTTTTGAGACCCATAGTCAGATACCTTTAACTAGTCATCTTTAGTGAACCCTGTCTTTGCAACTAGGGAGTTCTCTAATTCCCTGTCGAGCAGGCCTTTAGGTTAGCCTTTTATAATCCTGATGTAGTTATATGAAATTCGAGAGAGAACACTAAATCTAACATTTTCTTACAGACAGAACCTCCACTGAACACACCAGAAAACAGAGAGTACCTTGCAGAAATCATGTTTGAATCATTTAATGTACCAGGACTCTACATTGCAGTACAGGTAAAAATGGTATTGTCTTTCTGATTCTCACAGTAATCCCAAGGCCTTCTGTGCTCAGACCAGGCTAGACATTTCTCTTTTCTCTCAGCCCATCACCAAGCTATTCAGATCTGAATCAAAGCACCATAAAGAATCTTGCCTGTAATTTATCTCCTTATTTATTTAGTTTTTTTGAAAGAGGATTTCTCTATGTAACCACGATGGCTCTCCTAGAACTTGCTTTGTAGACCAGGCTGGCCTCGGACTCGCTGAGATTCGCCTGCCTCTGCTTCCCAAGTGCTGAGATTAAAGGCGTGCGCCACCACTGCTGACTCTAGTTTATTTTTATATAACTACCACTGGTGTAAAGTGGGTCTGGCTCTACAGTTTTCCCACGTAGAGCCTCATGTGTTTGGGTGTCAAGTGGTTAGAAGTGTAGATGTGCCTTTTTGTTTTTGTTTTTAAGTGTTTTACACTTACTTTGGGTCACTGTAAGTATAAGAAATAACAAACAAATAAAATGAAAAGACAGCACAGACAGCATAGCATCCCACTGGAAAACAACATAAGCTCAGGCAAGGATCCTACCACTTGGGAGGTGAGCAGGAGGATCTAGGTCAGCCTGGGCTCTAGCATGCGCTCTGAGGCAAGTCTGGGTTATGGAGTGAGACCCTGTCTCAACGACAGAGCAAACAAAAGCTAAAACAAAGTAAATGCCTTGGGAGAGCCCCGTGATTAGGCTCCAGTAGTTCCATGAGCTCTTGCTCCGAGAGGCCCGGAGCTCCCGGAGCTTCCAGAACTCATCTCGAAGCTTCTTGTTCTTGGCTTACAGTTTTGTTGTTGCTTTGGTAGTTATATACAAGGGAGCTGGTTGGAGTCTTGAGGAGTAACTGAGATTAGTCTTTCTCCAAAATTCCCTGCATAATAGTACTTCCTTCTAAGAAAGAAGAGTACTGTGCAGAGATGCATTGTGTAGGTGCTATAGTCTCCCCATAATGAGTCATAGTGCCTGTTCACACAGTAGAGGACCCACCCATTCCCACAGAAGAAATCTGCTAATTCTGTTCTCTCCCAAGACATACATAGTGTATAGAACAGGGAGGTACTCAGAAACACCGGATTTTATTATTATTATTATTATTGTTGTTGTTGTTGTTGTTGTTGTTGTTGTTGTCATTTATACAGGACCTTACTCTATAGCCTACTCTGGGCTCAAACTCAGGGTGATCCTCCTGTTTTAACCTCTTGAGTGCTGTGATGAATGGTATTTGCCACCATGTCCCACAAGGCCTAATGGTTCTTAAGATGGTTTCTTCACCATATGCCAGTTTCACCCAGAATATGCTTTTCAAAAGTTTAAATTCCTGAGTTGGAGAGATGGCTCAGTGGTTGAGAGCACTGACTGCTTTTCCATATGTCCTGAGTTCAATTTTCAGCAACCACATGGTGGCTCACAACCGGCTGTAATGAGATCTGGCACCCTCTTCTGGCGTGCCGGCATACGTGCAGGCAGAACACTGTGTACATACTAAACACATAGATCTTTTTTTTTTTTTTTTGAGCTAAGTGATTTTATTTAATCCTAAACATCCTACAATATACCACATCTTCAGAAAAGAAAATCAGTTTTTTTCTTGTTCTAGAACTCAGAATGCCCACCTTACCTTCATCTATAGTGCATTGTAATTTTTACAAGGAGTAGAAAACATATTTACAAATCATATATCAAATCTATGTAATTTAACACAGCCTACACTATCATTTGATCCCTGAAAGTATGGTTCAGCAGTTAAGAGCCCTTTCTGGTCTTCCAAAGGTCCTGAGTTCAAATACCAGCAATCACGTGGAGGCTCACAACCATCTGCAATGAAATCTTAGGTCCTTTTGAGGAAGAGACTTGGTCAGTCATCCTCATCAACTTAGACCATAAAACCCCAAAAGACAACTGCCCATGTGTGCTTCATCATTGCCAAGGCAATAAAAAAGCACTATGATATGGTGGAGCAGCCACTGAGAATCCTATTCCTTGTATACATATCCTGCCTTAAAGAAGGCTTCAGTTTCATGGGGTTCCACTTAATAAATGTGGGTCTTTGCTACAGGTGGTCTCTTCTAAAGTCATTTCCTGTACAAGTGACTTCAAGCCTATTCCACACTTTCCCTTCTGGCATACTCAGGGTATCTTGTCTTATTCTGAGACCTTTGATTCATTTGCAGTTGAATAAGAAATAAAGGTCTATGTGCCTTCTTCTTCATGCAGCCGTCATGTTTGGTCAGCACCCTGTATGAGAGCTGTGTTTAATTCCCATCAACAGCTGTCATAAACAGTAAAATAATAGGTGTTATTTTAAAAGAAAGGAATGAGAACTCATTGCTCTCAGTGGTTGAGAGCACTGACTGCTTTTCCATATGTCCTGAGTTCAATTTTCAGCAACCACATGGTGGCTCACAACCGGCTGTAATGAGATCTGGCACCCTCTTCTGGCGTGCCGGCATACGTACAGGCAGAACACTGTGTACATACTAAACAAATAGATCTTAAAAAAACCAAAAAAAAAAAAACCAAAAAAAAAAAACAAAAATAAAGTTTAAATTGCTGTGCTCCATCTTGGCCTGGCTTTGGGCTTGCTAGTTCCTTGCTGTAGTGTGTCCTGTGCATTGCAGAGTGTAGAGCAGCAGCCAGCCTCCTCTCCGATAGTGATTGTTGATAGTGAGCAACGGCAGAAGTGGCCGGAAGTTCTGTGAAGAGCAGGGCTGCCCCTGACTGAGAGCCACTGTCTTGTTCCTACCTCATCAAAGTTTCTGTATGGGGGTCTAGTCACCTGTGAGAGAAGAGCTCCATGTGGGCCGAGTTAGGAAGAGCACTTGCCCAGCACAAAGCCTTGGGTTTGACCCCACAAGTGTGGAAGAAACTGTATATAGTGGAGCATATCCTCGGATTCTGGAGTTGGAGGCAGGAAGATCATGAGTTCAAGGCCATCCTTGGCTACATTACGAGTTTGAAGCCAGCACAAAGCCTTGGGTTTGACCCCACAAGTGTGGAAGAAACTGTGTATGGTGGAGCATATCCTCGGATTCTGGAGTTGGAGGCAGGAAGATCATGAGTTCAAGGCCATCCTTGGCTACATTACGAGTTTGAAGCCAACCTTGGTTACAGGAGACCCCCACCTCAAACCAGAGACAAATTCTGTGAGCGAACAAACCAACCAACCAACCCAGGCTGTGTTTGTGGCTGCCCTTGGAGCATCAGTAGATTAGAAGTGAAATCTTGGGATTTAGCAGTGAAATTCCATTTCACTGTTTCTTGTTTGTAAAACTTTGTTTTTGTCAAAAATCCAACTTCTTCACTTGAAATGAAAACTGGCATGCCAGTTGACTGACATTGTAGTTTGGGAGATGTGGCACAGGAAAAGGGAAGTGTCTCAGACTCATTAAGTACGAAACGTTCACTGCAGAACCTGAGACCCGTCAGCGATGGCTGCTGACCTTCCTGGTGCTGTCTCTCTTCAGAGGGTGCTCAATGTCTCTCTGCAGGCAGTGCTGGCTCTGGCAGCCTCATGGACATCCCGGCAAGTTGGTGAGCGCACACTGACGGGAATAGTCATAGACAGTGGAGACGGTGTCACCCATGTTATCCCAGTGGTAAGTACAGGGTTCCTATTTTACTCTCTGCAGCTTAACACCTGTCCTGAGGTAAGAGGAGAATTGAAAAGGGCAAGGCAAAACTCAACCCCCTCTGACTTTTTATGTGATGTGCTTAGAAATGGCAATAGGATCCTCCCTCCCTCCCTTCCTCCCTCCCTTCCCTTTCCTCCCTTCTTTTCTCCATTTTTCCTTCCTTCCCTCCCTCCCTCCTTCTCTTCTTTTCTTCTTTCCTATTTTTATTCAGAGACAGGGTCTCCCTAGCTGGCCTGGAACTCCTTGTGTAGATCAGGCTGGCTTTGAACTCACAGAGATTCATTTGCTTTCCTCTCAAGTGCTGGGATTAAAAAAGTATGTACCTGGTCTTGGCAATAGAAATTTAGAAAGCCTCGGAAGGTGTTAAAGAGTTCAAAAGATGGCCATGTTTGTGCCTTTGGCAGTTTCAAAATCATGGAACAGATTCTGTAGTCATTCTCCCCTGCCCCAAGGTTTCTGCTGTATTCCCACAGGTGCCACATTGGTGTCCTGACTCATCACTCGAGTTGCTGCGGCCAGACCTGATTCTGGAGGCCAGAGCTGAGGGTCAGAGCATGCCCAGTGAAAGGCTTGATCAGCCGGGGCTTTGGAGAACTTGCTCTTACCTCTGAATGTATTTAAGAGCTAAGAAAGAGAGAGCTCATGTTTTGACTTGCAGAAGGCAAGGCAGTGACTCCTAACTCCAATTTCAGGAGACTTTTGTGTCTTTCTTTTTGTCCAAGAAATTATTTAAAAATTATTCTTCTGAAAATCAACTAGTGACAGTGAAAAGTCAGTCATTCCTAATCACCCCCCTTAGGTTCCTCAGTAACCATGGATACAATGTTAACTACAGTTATAAACACACACATAAATATATAAAGTTCCTTTTAAATTCGGAGATTTTCGCTTTTGAAAAATAATATATGTCTGTGCATGCTTGCATGGGAATGCATGCCATGATCATATATAGTAGTCATAGGGCGACTGGGGGAGTCTGTTCATTCATTCTACCATGTGCATGGGAGTGCATGCCATGATCATATGTAGTAGTCATAGGACAAATAGGAGATTCTATTCATTCATTCTACCATGTGCATGGGAGTGCATGCCATGATCATATGTAGTAGTCATAGGATGACTGGGGGCGTCTGTTCATTTGTTCTACCATGTGGGTTCAGGTATCAGGTCAGGTCAAGCACCTTATCTGCTAAACCATTTTACAGTCCTTAAGATTAAGTTTTTGAAAAAAATTGTAAAGGTTTATTTAGTTATATGGATATGTCTCTCTATGGGTTTGTGCATGTGACTGTAGTTACCCCCAGAGGCCAGAGGCATCAGAACCCCCGGAACTGGAGTTATGTGTGGTTGTAAGCTGTCGGCTGTCAGTGCTGGGGACAGGAGCTCAGCCTGCTGCAAGAGCAGTGCCTGATCTTAACCACTGAGCCATTTTTCTGGCCCCTACGTCTGTTCTGAACATACAAATTAGGATATTAAAAAAAATCCAAAGCTGAGTGAGGTGGCACATACCTGTAGGTGGATTTTTCTTTATGGGACACCAACTCACAGAAAATTACATGGAGATTTATTATTAATTATTAAATCTCAGCCTATAGCTTAGGCTTGTTCCTAACTAGCTCTTATAAACTTAAATTAACCCATTTTTTAAATTTATCTGCCTTTTACCACATGGCTTTTACTTCTGTTCCATTTCGTGTGTCTGACTTGTTCCACATCTCTCTGCCTTCTCTACCCTTTTTCTTCCCAGCATTCTCTGTGCCCCAAGAATCCTGCCTAGCTATTGACATTTAGCTTTTAAACCAATCACATGGACATATCCTCACACAGTGTAAAGGGATATTCCACAGCACATGCTTATAGTTCCAGCATTTGGGAGGTGAACACAGGCGGTTCAGAAGGTCATTCTTGGCTGTTTCCTGAACTTCAGTTCAGCCTGGGATACTTGAGACCCTGTCTCAGCCAAACCCATGGATTTCGACACCTGCCTCCATAGGCACCTGCATGTATGTGCACATCTATGCTCATGTGCGCGCACACATAACAAACTAAAAGTAAGCAAACAAAAGCACAACTAAGCCAAAACCAGGCAAAACAAGTGCATTTCCTTTAATTGAGAAGCGATAGTCACAATTTTGGTTCAGTAACTGAAGGAGCGACGTTTTGCTGCTTTTGTGTCTCTTAAAGGCTAATGTTGTGAAAGCCTTAATGGCCAGGAAGGACACTCCAAGTCTCTCTCACCCTCACACCCCTGCCCATGTGTCCTCTCCATGGGAGAGTGTGTGCCAGACTGGGGTCCTTCAGAGCAGTCTCGCACTCTGGCTTCCGGCTGCCCATCTGATGTGGAGCAGCAGGGCAGCTGCAGGTGTGTGGCCCCAGACCTGCGTGCATTTGGTTCCCATCATCCGCACACTGTGGATGGCGAGGCAGATGCCTGTTCTTTAGTCACATGTTCACTTGTCCAGGGTCGCTCAGCACCAATGTGGCCGGAAACGTTACACCTAGAACCCAGGTAACTTTTTACTGTGTCGTAGTTTAGTTTCTTCCCCATTTACAAAAATTGTTACTGAAAATTTGGGTAAAACTATAAACAATAAGGAAACCCATTCAGACAACCATGTTATCAACTGCACTGTCTTTCAGGCTTTGGTTAAGACACAGATGTATGTATATACATGTACACATTTTAAATTGGGGTATAACTTATACCATATAAATAATGCTAAAGTTATATTTTGCATATAAATTTAATGACACTTTTTTCTATTACGGTCAAATAGTCTGAAAAATAATTATCTAAAGCCATGGTGTGTGTTGATTGAAGTGTCTGTCCCACCTGGTCCTGCAGTCATTCAGTCCCAGAGAACTGCACAGAGGTCTACATTAGTTATAAACTGATAGGCCTAGTAGCTCAGACTTTTTAACTCTTATAACTTACATTAGCCCATAATTCTTGCTATCTTCCTCTGTGGTTGGGTCACAACTGCAGCCTGCACTTCCCTCTTCCCAACATTCTCATTGCCCCTCCTCTACTTCCTGCTGGATACCAGCCAATCAGCATTTTATTGAACATAATACAAGTGACAAGATAAAAGACCATTGTCCCACAGCAGGTGTGTGGTCCTGAAGTGACCCAGTGCTGACTCTCCTGCTGCGGGTATGTGGCATGCTGCATGCTCATTAGTGCTCAATGGTGTCTGTGAGGCCGAGTGTGGTTGTGAAGAGTCAGGGTGTAGGAAGGTAATATTCTAATCGCCTGTCCGTACTTCTTATCTCCATATTTAATATTTTACAAATACCTGTACCTTGCAGAAGGGCCAAATCTTTTGTCTAGAAGTTAGGACCATGAACCAAAAGCCCAGGGCGCCCTGGGAAGGCGGTCCTTGCAGCTTATCGGTGGCTCCATCTGTCTCCGTGCCAAGAGCGCACACCGGCAGCATGAGCAGTGGCTCACCTCCATGCCCTCTCTTTCCCTTGGGCCTTGTGGCCCAGAAGCTGTGAAGTGCTAGAGTGTGAAACCCGACCACCCGTGTCCCCAGTCTGTGTCTCTGCAGACAAGCTGGATGGGTGGCCAGGCTTGCGGCTTCTGTGGCAAGCCTGTGCCCACAAAAGGTCAGTGAGGGGACTGTAGTGCTGTGGGCATTAGCCCTGCTAGTCGGTAGCAGAGTCCCTGTGAACTCCCCGTGGGCCCCTCACAGACATGCCTTCAGTAGCTAAGGAAGGCGGCAGGGAGAATGCAGATCCTGAGCCACACCGGTCTGCAGATGCCACTGGTTGGTCAGCTTCTTAATGTCATTTTTCAGTGTGCTGAGTGGAACCATTTGTTGAATTTGTAGTATCTGCCATAAGGCACATATCCGGCAGGCAGGGTTTTGCTTTATCTACACTATAAATGCCCTCAGAGTATTTTCTTCACACTAGGCATAAAGGTTGGAAGTCTGAATCCAGGGTTTTGGATCCAGGTTGTTTTGGGATCACAGGCCTCTGTACCTGGCCTCATCGCTGACTTTGAATCAGGAGGTTTATAGTTGGTTTAGCAGCATATAGACAGTCTTTCCTGTCTAGTTAGAAAACCTGATTGTTGAGGTTACTGTTCTCTCAGATAGCATTGTCTTTTAGAAGTGAACTAAACCGCAGTTTCTCCTGTGTTCCTAATGAAAGCAACATTTTGGTTGCTTATGGAGATTCAGGTTATTGGGGTCATTTAGAATTTTAAATATTAATAGAACTGCAGATGCAGTCATTTAAAAGGACCTTAGACTCTGAGCCTCTTGAATGGGAACCCTTACACACTAGTTCAGCGACCAGAGGGGAGGCTGGGAAGGTGTGGCTGGGAATCTCCTGGGTCCAGTTGGCTCTGGACTGTGGTTACTGACGTGGCTGTCCTGCCTCCTCTTCCTCTCCAGGCAGAAGGTTATGTAATTGGAAGCTGCATCAAACACATCCCAATTGCAGGTAGAGATATTACGTATTTCATTCAACAGCTGCTAAGGGAGAGGGAGGTGGGAATCCCTCCTGAGCAGTCACTGGAGACCGCAAAAGCCATTAAGGTAAAAACAGAAGGGACCCTGGCTGGTTTGGGGGTGAGAGAGAAATGGTGCTTGGATGTTCCCTCGATGCCCGTCATCCCCGTCCTGCTCTCTTCCTATCCCCCGAGAGTGTGGCGTTGACTGTCTTACCAGTGAGTTCAGTGTGCTGGGGACTTGAGGCTCAGTGCACTCTTCTACAGAGAGCGACTTGATAGTTGGTGTTGAGTCACGGGCGTGTGCAGTAGAGCATCATTTAATTGGAGCCTAATTAAACAAAACCTTCAATTAGCTGCACGCTGCTTCCACATCTCCCTCCATGCTTCCTTTTAGAATCAGGAGCAAGTCACAGCAGCAGCATAGCTGTCAGGAATCCTGTGGTGCCTGCCTGCCTTCGTGCCCTGAGAATACATCTCAGAACCAGGCCAGTCTGAGTTTTAGCATCCTTGAACACAATCCCCCTGCATGGCTCCAGACCTTGGTTCAACACTAGACCAGTGACAGGAATCTTTAGTAACAAAAGAACCAAAGTGGCTCTTTGGTCATTATTTAGAGTGTCTACTTGACCTGGCCGTCTTTGTATTGCTTTGGATATAGCAGTTACAGAGCCTTTTAAAGGAATTTTCTTCTCAGCTATCAAACTCAAAACATGAAAAAAATCAGAATGAAGGAGATTCCTAAGAGTCCAAGGCTGATTATTCTGTAGAGCAAAGGAGGAAGGGTTCTGTTTGGATCTGGAGAAGAGTCTGAGGTGGGGTGTGACCTTAAGTATCTCCTTTCTCTGGTTTTGAGGTTCAGGGTAGTTGTGTGTGTGGGGGGAGAGTGAGGGTTGCCCCCTCCCCTGCTGTTTTCCTCTCAGCTGAGCATCTCCCGAGGCTGGTTGAATGTAAGGATGCACAAGACAAGATTTCCACATTTGGCTGATACTCGTTGAAAACCATCTTTTCAGGATGGGGCAGATATCAGGCAGGATCTTACAAAAAGGGCGCCACTAACCCCTGCATCCTGAGCCTGAACCTTCCAGGATTGGGGAGACTCTCTGTGCTAAAGCAAAAGGTGGAGCTGATCCTTTCTCCATTGCGGAGAGGTTTGCCAAGTGTCCCAAGACTTCCTCTGTAGGCTAAAGTATTCCCAAGGTTTCCCGTAGCCTCTGTTTTCCTTTCTTCAGTGGCGGCCATCTATTAGCAACCCTAGTGCTCCTACCTGATTCTGTTTTTATTCTGTGGTATCTGCCATCCTATGTTGTTTACTTCAGTCAGTGCTAGATTATTTCTGACCGGGATCCAAGTATTTCATTGACTGTATCTCCAATGTAGTTCCAGTGACTTAGAACACGTGACCAGCAAGGTACATTCTCAGGCATGTTGCGGGCCAGGGATCTCCCTGCAAGCAGACGTCTAGCAGGAAGCTAGAGGGCACTCCCTCTGTATCACACCCTCGTGCACATGCATGCACGCACACACATTAGGATGTGGTTGGTTACTGTACTCTAGAGTAGGCCAAGCTTAGTTTGCTGATCCAGACATGGGCAGTGGTGAGAAGGTACCAGAGAGGGAGCCCGAGGGAGCACGTAAAATCTGGATGGAGACAAGGTGCTGATGTTTACAGAGAGGTATTATTGCGGACAATATGGCAACAAAATTAGGTGGGCTTGGTAGTGATGAAGAACCAAGTTACAGAGAAAGCAGACTTACCTGCTCAAACACGGTTATGTCCGAGCCAAAGGACAGCGAGACACAAACTTGACAGTCCAGCCCCATGGGTTACAGTGTAGCAGAGGTGGGTTCAGCTGTCTGTAATGTATGGGTTCCTGTGTATTTGTCAGAGGGCAGAGACACTGGCGATTATTAATGCTTGGTGATATCCTTTTGTGTATACACAGGAGAAGTACTGTTACATTTGCCCTGATATTGTCAAAGAATTTGCTAAGTATGACATGGATCCCCGGAAGTGGATCAAACAGTACACGGGGATCAATGCAATCAACCAGAAAAAGTTCATTATAGATGTTGGTTATGAAAGGTTCCTGGGACCGGAAATATTCTTTCACCCTGAGGTAAGAGCTGTCTCCTGAGGCTGCAGAGTACAGTGCATGTAGAGCAATGCTGCCCCCTAGTGTGCACCAGGAGCAGCTCTCAGTGCAGGGGCCCAGAGAGCAATTGGCTGTTTCACATGGTAGCTCCCCATGCTGTGTGGCTGCCTGGTTTGCCTTGCTATCGACTTACCTGCTTCAACAGTCAAGCTTGGGTTATCCTCCTTGAGATGAGGAAAACTTTGAATAGCAATAGGAGAAAATGGATTTGAAACTGACCGTAAGGGGTCGGTGGTAATGTACGTCACTAATCCTGGAGATTGGTGTACACTGGCCCCTGCATGGAAGTGGGATTAGGACAAAGCCTGTCCAGCTCTGTGACTGTCCTTCTAAACCAGTGCATGCCCAGCTGGTGCATGACTGGATGTCCCCTCCTTTCTCCGAGACCTTGGAGTACGAACTGGGTTTTGAAGTGTATTTGGAGTTGACATGCTCATACTTTCGTACATTTAATTCATGCCATTGGACCCAAAGGTGTTTATTTGTTTGCTCACTGTGACTGTTGCATGGACTGTTAGGTTCTAACGCCACCGCCATCACTATAGCACGTTTTCCTCTCAAAGTCTGACTAACTTTTCTGTTGTGCCAATACTCATTGCATGCCATGTAGCTGGTGTGCGTGAGGTGCTGTGCTCTCCTTAGCAGGGCTGCCTGTCCCGGTGACTGATGGGTACTTTCCCTTTGCTAACACGCACATGTGTCATGTTCACATCGCTCCATGCACATATGGTCGGCCGTGCGCATTCCTTTGACATCCTTTGATTTTCATGTAATGGACTTTCAGTTCTAGGAAACTGTGTATTTGTTGGTTACCTTTAAAGAAATGTGGCCGAGGGACCTGGGAGCATGCCCCAGTGCAACGGCATGGACTGCTCTTGCAGAGAATCCCAGCTCAGTTCCAGCACCGTGCCTGATAGCTCACAACCACCTGGTAGCTCCAGGGGAGATGATGTCCACTCTGGTCACTGCACACATGGTACTCATGTGCACAAACTCACGCTCAGACACACTCACCTACACATGTAATTAAATGTAAAAACAAAGTCTTAAAATGTCGTCTGAAAAAAGCTTGTGTTATTTGAGGAAAATGTATAGCGTTTCTTTTCTATCTCTATAAAATTTAGTTCGCCAACCCAGATTTTATGGAGTCCATCTCGGATGTTGTTGATGAGGTCATACAGAACTGTCCCATAGATGTGCGCCGGCCGCTGTATAAGGTAAGGTGCCTTGTTTGTTTCCATGTTAAAGGTTTTAGCTACCGACAACGCGAGCCGTCATCCCTGTTCCTTCTGCTCCAGTGCTGTGACGGAGAGCTTTTTTTCAGAGAGGAGAGGAGTGGAATGTTTGGGAATATGACACTATCAACTGAGGGATTTTCAAAACTCTCTTCCTCCTTCCTTACCCTCCTTCTTCCCCTTCTTCTTGAACCCAGGCTGGCCTAGGTTTAGAACCTGTGACTCTTCTGCCTCCACCTCCCTAGCACTAGCCTTTCAGACCCATGTCTCCATGCCTGGCTTGAGCTATCTTTTCTTCTTATCTGGCAAACTGAATCTGAAGTTAGACAGTCTGAGCCATATGTACTGATTGAAAGAGGAAGGTGCACCCTCTTCCTGCTACCTGGGAACTGCTCTTATTCATCCACGGGCATTTAGGGTTGGTCAGTGCTGAGGTAGCGTGACAGTGAGAGCTTCAAGTGGGACAATCAGATCAAATAAGCATGTGAATTTTCTAAAAATTCTTTTGTTGTCCAGAATTATAAAACTTGAAATAAGAGAAATCTAATAATTATTGCATAAAAGGAAATATTGCTGACAGCCAGTTAGCAAGAGCAGAAATCACTCCATCTTTAGCTAACATTTGCATGTGTGCATCAAGTCTTTGCGACTCAGCTTCATGATTCCTATTACACTCTGCACACTTGGACATCTGCATTTTAAAGAGAAAGGTTCTCAGTCGCAATGCAGTGACTACTGCTCCGTTCCACAGTAGATACTACATACCTTTTGAGAGAATGAGGTAAATCAGCTACATTCCCACGAGAAAGTCTTTGGTAGGAAAGCAGCTACTGGCATGCATCTCATATGCATGTACTTTACAGTTCTGAGTGATATATGTTAAACAGTTAGTAAGAAGTACCAGGGAAGACTGACTAAATAGACTGGGTATTTACGTTAGATGGCGCGTGTTCCTGTGTTGCTCTCCAGTGCCACTCATGTGGCGGTGTGGTCTTGGTGAAGGCTGGGAACATGCAGTGCGTAGTTGCAGGAAAAGTGAATCGGCTCTGCTGAGTGAGAACTGCACTAATGCAGCCCTTAAAGCATGGTGACCCGGAATGGAAAGGTGAAGGGCGGGATGGGCTCAGGGCCTTGCACTTAGGTCTTGTGTTTATTTTATTAAGGAATTTCTCACTTTCTTAATCTCACTGATTCAAACTAAAGGTAGTTTGAATGAGGCAATACTCACCTGCATGGACCTCCTCTGAGTCTGTAGCGTGGCTGGGATGCCCTTTCCATTTTGGAATTACTCAGTTATTAAGTAACACTGCAGAATGTGCTAACCCTGAAGTCAAGAAAGCTTCATGAAGTAGCAGGACAAGGATGCCATGGCCTCTGCGAGCCTGCAGGTCACGTGCAGACGGTTCCTAGAAGGTAGGGTTACCCCAGCAGATAAGGGCCTGGGTCAGGCGTGCTGTTAGAATTAGGGAGTGATGGCTTGCGAGGAGGAAGGAAAGTGGCTCATGAGGAAGAGGAGAAAGTGAGTGTTGGGCTAGGAATGGGGATGTCTTCTGCAGGAATGTTTCAGTGGCAGTGGCATTGCTCTGACCTGAGTCTCCCCCATCTCCCCACTGCTCTATGGAGAGTCCACTTAAAATTCCATCTGCTTTTTAGTTTTTTGACAGGGTCAGGCTGACGTGGAACTCACTGTGTAGCCTAGTGAGGCTTCAAATTCAGTTCTCAAGCCCTGGATGATAGGTGTGAGCCACCAAACCCAGCTTGCATCTGTTTTCTAGACATGGCTGGTTAGCACCCTTTGGCCCTCCGAAGCTTACAGAGGTGATCCCTGTTCACAGTCTGCCTGTGATTCTGGTGCTCTTCTCCAGGCTGCCCTGAGTGCTGAGCTACAGCACGGATGTCAGTCTGACACTAACGGTGGCACCCTGACAGCGGGAGATAGTATGAGATGTTACTTAGCTGTATATGTCTCTTTAGAGTTTCTCTCTCTCTCTTGCTCTCTGGATCAAACATTTGGTGAACTACATCCCTAGCCTTTGGTTTTTCAATAATGCTGCCCTTGGACTTGCAGTTCTCCTGCCTCAGCCTCCTGAGTATTGGGATGGCAGAAGGGCACTATCGTGCCCCAGAGATCTTCCTACAGTGATTGTGGAACAAAGAGTGGAAGTGGGGATTGACCAGCTACTGTAATTATCTTGGGTAGTGGCAGATGTACAAGCTAGCCTTTTCTTTCTTTCTTTTTTTTTATTAAATTATAAAAGTTTCCATTTCAGCCCCTAAGCTAGCCTTTTCTATGGGCCATTCACTTAAAGGAGTTGAGAGCAGAGGTCATTGAGCTTAGGGTCAAGATTGATGGAGGACTGTAATGGAAGCATGGTGTCAGAAGAGACTCTGAGTAAAGACCGAGACAAGTACCCAGTGAATAACTATGTGGAGGTTGCATTCCCTTATTTTTTTTTTTATTTATTGGGTGTGGTTGTGTAGCCTAGGTTGGCCCTGAACTTTCAGTCTTTTATCTTGGCCCCCGATTGTTGGATTATATGTATAATATTTGCTAATTTTGAATAGTATTTGTTAGTTTTCATTAGTCCTGTGACAAGAGTAACCATGTGACTGTAAGTGTGTATTAGTCTAGACTGAGTTTTTGTGTCTCGTTGCTTTCTAGGTCCTGATGCTATTCAGAAGCAACCTTGAGCTTCTTCCATTTGAAATTATATTATTAATATAGACCTGAAATTATATTATTTTTTTTAAATATTTATTTTATTTATTATGTATACAATATTCTGTCTGTGTGTATGCCTGGTGGCCAGAAGAGGGCACCAGACTCCATTACAGATGGTTGTGAGCCACCATGTGGTTGCTGGGAATTGAACTCAGGACCTTTGGAAGAACAGGCAATGCTCTTAACCTCTGAACCATCTCTCCAGCCCCCTGAAATTATATTATTAATCATAGACCTGAAATCATTTAATAAATAACTGTGATGCCCTGAGTATGTTTATTGCTGGTGGCTGTGTCCAAGGAATAGCAGGTGGCAATTGAAGTTCAGGTGTCAGCCACCAGGAGGCACATCTCTGATGGGTGAATCTTGAATAGCAAGGCCCCCATGAACACAGACTCCAGAATAGCATTGCTTCTGCTGTACCTTTACATGTTTGCTGCTGCTGTCTTTCTCTGGTATCTGGCATGGTGTGAGTGAATGTGGGGAGTACAGTACATACATGGCCTGTAGTGTAGTGTGTTTATCTCGTGGGAGCATCTCATTCTACTGGATTACTTGTGGATAATTATGAAGATGATTCCTCCCTAGGTTGTACTGTCTAATTGATAATAATAAGGTTGGTTTATACAGAGTTTGGATGTACTTTCCTTGCTAGGGTTGGTTGGTGATCAAAGGTGATAAATTCATTTTTGCCATCAATCTCCCGACAGAAGAAACTATTGATGAGTGGGTATGCATCCTAAAGATTTAAAGTAGAGTTGGCTAATACTTTTTTTGTATATAAAAGTTTAGATTTGTGTTTCCTTTAAGGGTCCTTGTAAGATTACCTTTCAGGATAAGTAATAAAGTGATGGTCCTTTCCTTGTAACCGCAAAATGCAGCCTGCCAGTGAAAGAACACCTTGCTTGCTTACACTCCTAATCCATAGCAAATTGCTTGGATGTGAATGTACGTGGGTTCTTAGGCTAATTTGTTTTTCACCTGTAATATGTAAAATGTTTAATCATGTAAAAGATATGGGAAAAATGCTGTTTTTAACTTGTATTCATTGTAATCATTCACTTGTAAACATTCGCAGAATGCAACCACATTGTAATTTTTATATTGCCTGAAAGATTTTGATAAGGTATATAAGCTGTAGAGAAAAGAATAAAGATAGAGTTAAAATGAGTTAGAAGGAAGCTGGGCGGTGGTGGTGCACGCCTTTTAACCCCAGCACTTGTGAGGAAGAGGTAGGTGGCTCTCTGAGTTCAAGGCCAGCCTGGTCTACAAGAGCTAGTTCCAGGACAGAGGATTCCAAAAACTACAGAGAAATCCCGTTATCTCGAAAAACCAAAAAAAAAAAAAAAAAAAAAAAAAGGAAACCGCATAGTGGCTCACAGCAATCTATAATGAGATCTGGTGCCCTCTTCTGGCATGCACACATATATGCTTACATAATAAACAAACAAACAAGCAAGCAAATAGATCTTTAAAAAAAAAGCAAAACAACCACAGCCGGGCATGGTGGTGCATGTCTTTAATCCTCAGCACTCAGGAGACAGAGGCAGGTGGATCTCTGTGAGTTCGAGGCCAGCCTAGTTTATAGGGTGAGTTCCAGGACAGCCAAAGATACACAGAGAAAATCTGCCTTAAAAAAGCCAAACAACAAAACGAATGAGAGAGTTAGAAGGAAAACATTAAGAATGAGAGAAGGGATTCACTAGGAAACTAAAGACTAGAGAATGTAAAAGGAGAATAAAGAAAAGGTCGGAAGGAAACCGTCAAGAGAGTGTGTGAGTGTCTTTTTCCCTTCACCCCCTCAGATGAAAAGGTCATAGTCCACTGACTGTGTGGATTCCCCGAGTCCAGCTGATGCTGGAGGCTGGTCCCCAGGCAGCCATAGTATGTGTTTAAGACCTGGATTAAGCAGTTGCCTATGGCCGCTCCCTGTGGGACTGCTGTTTCTGTCCCCATATCACAGGCAAACTGAGACAAGCCTTAGCTCAAGGCCCATCCATGCCATTCTGTGTTAGTGAGGCTTCTGCTGCACCGAGTCTACAGTACACTGTGTCTTTGACTTGTGTACATTTGGGAGAGTCATGTTAACTGCTAAATGACAAGGTTGGATTCTGAGCTAGTTCCCTGTATCTTGAAAAAGTTAGGCTTCCCCCACTTTGTCACATTGTATATCACAGAAGAGGTGGTGCGAAGGAAACTGTGTCCGTTTCTCCCTAGGTAACCATGCCTTGGCTGACAATCCAGTTTGTCCTACCAGCTG